GTCATGCCCTCAGCCCCGTAATTATCCATTATCTAAAATGTCAGCCAAGGTGGGAATGATGGGAGTTGATGCCAAAAGTGTCATGGTTTTTTTCTTTCTTTTTTGGAATTTTAAGACACAGTGACTGAAAGATTAGTTTAGTATATTGGTATTTGGAAAATGAAGCTAGAAAAATACAAGGGCTGTGTATATGTCTTTCCAACACTATGAAGACCCATTTCTAGCCTAGGTAGGTCACAAGATATCGGAACTTAAATGGGTCTCTGGCCTATGTGTGTACCAACATCGGCCTCAGGTAAGTATACATTTGGAGAAGGTATTCCACGTTTTTTGGAGAAGTGAAGGAAATTTACTGCTGGCAAGTTTATTTTAACAAAAAAAAAAAGTCTGTTTTAAAGCTGCTTGGGGCCTGGTTATTCCTGGTGAAGAAGAATTAGTAGACAAAGTATAGATGAGGTGGTCAGTTTTAGGATAAGTGCAACTTATCACATGAATATCACCACCCAGCAACTCACTCTTTTACAATTTTTCATTAGTTTTCCTATGATTAACTTTTCCATTTTCTGTGTCTGTCATCCCTTCCATTCTCATACTCTGTCCCTCAGTTTATCTTTTACTCCCTCCCTCTGCATCTCAGCATCTCTCTGTGTCTGTCACTCACCTCAGGTTAGGGAATAGAAATGGGATTGTTAGAGTCACAAGGTGGGTGAAGTATTATCTTTTACTGGATTATATTCTGTTGGTGAGATAGACAAGCTTTCAAGTTTCCAGAGAGCTCTTTTTCAGGTCTGGGAAGTGTACTCAGAGTGTCATAGCCAAATTCAAGGCGGAACGGATTGTTTAACAAAAGTAGTTAACACTTTTTTCAAGGGACCATTCAACTTGAAAGGGCCTGTGAACATCCCTCCAGTCATAGGGAGGAAAGAAAGGTGGGTGGGAAGGCATTTTGGGGGATTGGAATGGGATTGTCAGTTTAATATAAATTTGGGATTCTCTCCATTCCCCTCTGTGTCACATCCCTTTTCTTTTTTCTCTCTCTTTCCATCTTTCCCAGGTATTTGCTTTTAGGTTTCCCAGTCTCCCCACTTACCTCTTCAATTCACTTTTCCTCCACCCCTTGTAAAGAGCTGCAGTGAAGAAAATTCCATGGGAAGCAAAAGAAACATAATATGACATGGGAGGGCCAGAGGGGGAGAGAGAAGTGACCAGAAAGGGGAAGGTTTCTGGCTGAACAGTTGAATACACAGCACTTTTTTCTACCCATGGAAGCTTCCAAGATATTGGACCTTAAAATATCTTATTGTTATGCATCGTATATTAGGCATTTTCATCTAATGTTTTAATATAATTTTCCTTACCCTGAGCATGTGGTGTAGTTGAATTCATGGTATTAAATAATTTGTCGTTATGGGTGAAGATTAATTTAAAATTGTACCAATACTTTTGTTTTAAACTAAAACATTCATTTCCCCCTCTGTGAAATATTTGACAAATACAGACTATGACTATATGATATGACTTTATTGGCACGCTTTTGAGATTATCTGTTTAACACACTCATGGCTTTGTCAGTCATGACTAATGCAGCCATCCCAAACACATGCCAATAAAAGCTTTATACCAAACAATCATGTATACTGTTTATACTATGTATTATACAGAATATTTTTTTACACATTTGGGAAGGGTTCCCAAACAACCCGAAACCACCTCGCCTTCACCCATCAACCAATAACCTCTCTGCATTCCTGGAGTTCAGTACATTCGCTCATCAGGAGGTTTGACATATGAAAGGAGTCTCGACCCAAGACGGGAGAATCCGAACCATGGCGTCCCTGGCTTGTGAAAGAAAGCCATGAGCAAGTGGTGCCACTCCTGTCCAACGTTGTGAACACCTCATTCAGAGAAGGAATCACCCCTTTCTGCTTCAGCACACACTAATCTGACCAACACAGAAAAAAACCACCCTGTATACAACAACCAACTGCTGTCCAGAGTCGAACTTTCTGTTCCTGGACAAGCTCAGAGAATCTACTCAAAGGACAACATCAAGCTCATCTAATTGGAGCGAATATAGTAGGCCCACCTAAATCTGGACAAAGATTGTCAGTGCAGGAGATGGAACTTTCACAGTGGGCCAGCTCAATAATTCTCACTTAGGGAGAGGATGGGAAAACAAACACATGACAGATGTTAGTCACAGTGCTTAATTAAACTACTAGAAAGTACTCAGATCCTGTGTTGATAAGAACCTTAATAGAGTAGTGTACTTTGTGTAATTGGAAATATTTTTTCATATCCCTTCACCTTGCTTACCACATGCTTAATTGTACAGAATTTGAAAGGCGACATAATCTAAAAATTATTGAAAATAGCAATTTTATATACAGAAAAGCTGTGAGTGGCCTTGGATTGAATCTTATCCATCCTGGACTTCTAGGAGTTGTTTGTTTTCTGTGGGGAGGGGAGAATGGAGATGCAGATTTCTTCTAATGGGCTTATTTTATTTTCTTCTTTCTCTCTGTCTCTCTTTTTAAAAATAGTGACTATTTGAAGCTGCTAATAGTTTTGAAATGTAGAATAAATTCTGTTAGAGTTGGATTAGTGGGGAGAGGGCAAGTGAGGCTATGAGAAATGAATGATGCCCTATTCATTCTATTGATGTGCAGGTTATTATATGGACATCACTGCCACGTGTGTGTATAAACATTATACATGTATTGTTTAGCCATGTATTGTTTATATACATACATACAGTAAAAGCTTTTTTATCTGGCATGTTGGGAGAAATGGGGGGGTGTGTGTGCCAGTAAGTGAAATATGTTGGTTAACTAAGAGGAAAGGAGTTTGGGTGAGGGGATGAGAACCGCAGCCAATGGGAGCTGTGGGAACAGTGCTCGGGGTAGGGGCAGCGCACAGAGCCACCTGCCACAGGTCTGCCTAGGAGTAGCCGGGACAGGTCGCTGCTTGCAGGGAGCCACCCGAGGTGAGCGCCCCTTGGATCCACCACCCCAAGTCTTGTCCCGCGCCCCAACCCACTGCCCCGAGCCCCCTCCCATACCCAAACTCCCTCCAAGAGCCCATGCCCCACACCCCGTCCTGTGCCCCTCGTCACCCCCCCACTCCGAACCCCTTGTGGCCATTCCTTTGCCTAGGAGCAGCAGGGACATGTCGCCGCTTTCAAGGAACCACGCAGAGCCAGGTAGGAAGCCTGCTGGCCCCGTGCCAACCGGATTATAAACCAGACTTTCTATGAATATTAGACATGCCGGTTTATAGAGCTTTCCAGTTGGCACAGGGCCGGATAACACAGATTTTACTGTATATACACTCACATACATACTATTAATGTTAATACCCCATAATATTGCTGAATGAGTTTTGCTGAATTGTCCAGATTTTGTGACAGTGAATACATGACTTATCAGAAAAGTGTCTATAGATAACTAATTTTTTCCTCCTCTGTTCATTAGTGCAGATAATAAACAATTCCCCCGTGTTTCATTTATTATTTTGGAGTACATTTCTTAATACTCTGTGGGCCAAATTTTCTTCTGGAGTGAATGGGAAAAATCTCCATTGAAACTGAGGATATTGGAACCATTTATGCTAGAAAATTTGGCTCCATGTTTTTTTGAAAGTCTTTCTTGATAGAAGGTCCTAACTAAAGCACCAAGGTCCCGTGTGAAGTCTGTTGGTTAAGTGCATTTTTTGAATACATTCCCTTCAAAAGTTCATTTTATTAATCTAATTTTATTAAATCTGCTAGCTTTTCTCTGATCTGCATTTAACCTTGGTGACTAACATCCTACAATTTGCTTGTATAGCTTCTTAGGATAATTTAGTAGGGACTATATCAATGCGTATCAAATTGCAGTATTGTAATCAAAAACTTAATTAGTCTCGGATTTAGCTATTTGAACAGGTAGGACTTTCCTCAATCAATTTTGTGCAGCAATTTAGAAAATGTTAATATTATTTTTATTACTTAATTTGAATCTATTAAGCACTGTAGCTTTGTTTTGCATCTTTGTTGGTTGGGAAGTCTTGGGCAAACCACATCATTCTGTCTTTATTAGTTGTTGAGTAAATCACGATAGGTCTATCAGTTAAAATGGAACTGTAGTTTAATATTGTCACAATAACACATTGTGTCATGTTACTTTTCCCTGAGTCTATAAAAGTGAAGAAACTAAAAAGTACTTGCCTTGTAATTCTTCTTTGAGGATATCAGACAACTACTCTGGCCTTTTGTTCATGCTTATCCCCACTACAGAGGATATGTTGGAGCTCTGCCACCCTGATTTTCCACTGAGGTGAGGTCCTTCAGGGATTTTACACCACCAGTATAAGTTAGAGCAGCCTTCCAGGCTTCTCTAATTCATGCTAATCAATTATGCAGAATGAGGGAACTGTATCCAGCTCATTGATGGCTGAAGTACCCCCCTCCCTTCTTACTCGTGTAGCTAAGACAAGGGGAATTGAATCTAGTAGCTTTGGAAAAAATCAGTATTTGATTCAAGAATAATTATCTGCTGTTATCTTGGTAAACACCCTTTGATTTTTCTGATGACCAAAAATATTTCACACTTAGGGTTTGTCTACACTGCCATGTGAGGTGTGACTTCAGCATGTGTAGACAAACCATGGCTTGCTCAAATAACAATGGCAGTGAAGCCACGACAGCAAGGGCGAGCCGCAAAAGTAAGTACACAGGGTCCCTGGCAATCTTCCTCAGCCTGTGGTGCTGCCCAGGCTGCTGTGGCTTTGCTGCTATTGTTATTCAAATTAGCTAGATCAAAGGTAGCTCAGGTATGTCTACATATGCTGTAATTACACCTCTGGTTGCAGTGGAGACAACCTTAATAAAAATTCCTTTCAAGAATGACTGAGGACAAATGAATCCTTATTATATTCAGTAAAACGACTTCATTATGATACAGCCTGAAGTACTGTAAATAGGACATGAATATTAAAATACATGTTAATTTGCCTTTCAGGAGTTGAAAAGCTGATCCGCCATCTACACCAACACAATGTACCTATAGCTATTGCCACTAGCTCAGCCGGAGTGACATTTCAGATGAAAACAAGCAAACACAAAGACTTCTTTAGTCTATTTCATCATATTGTGTTGGGAGATGACCCAGATGTGAAGAACAGCAAACCACAGCCTGATGCATTTTTAGTTTGTGCAAAGAGATTTCATCCTCCTCCTCCTCCAGAAAAGGTAGGGATGGAATTAGCTGAAAAGTCAGCAATAAACAATTCAGAATACATTTTGATTTTTTAAAATTTGTTGTTTAATATGACAAGTTTTGAGATTGAGATTTAATAGCAAATTAAAAATACTCATGGGGGAATTCTGCACCGCTGCACAATACAGAAATTTGCAGAAACTAATGTGCACGCAGAATTTCCTTTCCCCCACAGAAATGGGCTGCAGTGCTGCTGGCTGCCAGTGGGGGCCGCTGGACCTGGCAGAGCCTAGCTCACACATAGAAGACACTGCCAGGGAGGAGAGGGAGGGATCTAGAGGGTTCCCAGCAGCTGCAGTTCTCCACACACCCTGAGGGAACGAGAGAGCAGTGTGCAGGAAACTCCACACAAGCCTGGAACATAGCATCAGGCTGTTTCTCCCTCTGGATCCCTGGACTCTGAGGGATATCGGGGCGGGTGTCTGGGCTGGGGGAGACACAAGTGGGTGCTGGGGAGGGTGGTCTGGGGGGCCCCATGGCTGGGCTCCAGGGGATGTATGTGCAGGTATCTGGACAGCAGGGCCCCTGCAGCTGAGCTCTGGTGGGGCGGGGGTAGGGAGGCAGTTTGCGAGTATCTTTGCTAGGAGGGGCTCTGGGGGCAGGAGGAGTGCAGGTGTCTAGCCCCCTGGCTGGACTCTGGGAGGAGGAAGAGAAACAGAAACTGGGTTGTCATAGGAGTTTCTTTAACTCTCTTCTAGGGGAATTTTTTGTGTGTGTCTGTATTGTTACAGACATACTTGCTGATAGGTATTTTGGAAAAAAAAAATTACCAAAATAATTGAAACTGGCGTCATCATGTAGTGTTATTTTGACAAATAACATTTGCAGAATTTTAAAATATTGTGTACAGAATTTTTATTTTTTTGGCGCAGAATTCCCCCGGGAGTTAAAAAAACAACCACACAGCATTCTTTGTCCCTGAAGAAATGTATACTGTAGAAGCAGAAAATTATTTGAAAGTGTCCTGTTCGTTCAGTATACAATGTTTTATAATGCAAATTACATTTGATTTACTGCATGGTACTGTGAAGTAACAGGAAACTTCAATGATTTCCACTACATGTATAAATATGAAAGCTGAGCTTTTGTGCTCAAAGTTTAGAAACATTATTTAAACATAGGACAGTTTTCTTTTCAAACATTTGTGGCTTATTTACCTCTTAAATGTCTAAACATTAAAGATACATTTTTGTAAAGAGGATATAGATTTCCTTCATGCCATCTCTTCATCCTGCTTGCTGAATCTATGAGGTCATAATTCTTGGTTTATGATTTCAAAACCTAGCACTGAGAAATATCATTTGAAAAAGAAAAGATGTTTTCTTTCTCTTATACAGATTTGCTAAATTTCCAATTCAGAAACCTGTGAGGGTATATCTGAAAGAGAAATGGATACCTATTTAAGTAATATTGTCATTTCTATTTTAAATTAACACAATTTCGCTTTAAAATCATGCCTTTGTTCTTTTTTTCTGTTCTGCGTGAAATATGAAGCCTATAAAGAAGTTTTGAGATCCTAATTATTGCTGAGAAAATTGTTTCATAATTGTGATTTTTTTTTTAATCCAAACTCTGGTGTAGATGCTGGTGTATTGCTGGTCCACGGAGAACAATGTATATGTAGGCGTATTTGCAGCAGTTAGCTAATGTATTTCAACCTTTCCCTGAATGGACTCTCCATTTCATTGAAGCCCCTTATTTACATGGGCAGGAGTAGATAAATAAGTGAATAACTGTGTGTGTGTGTGTGTGTGTGTGTGTGTGTGTGTGTGTGTGTGTGT